TGAACGCAGCATTATGAGGGTGCCTGTGAGCTCGAGGTCTACTACTGTGACTCGTGAATTGAGAAACGGCCTTGGTGAGTTTGCTTCCATTCGGCGACTCGGCCTGTCAATCACCCGCACAACAACTGTGACAACAGTTCCATAATTTTGTTGTACCCTGAGCTCTCCTTTGACAAGAGTCAACCTTTAACAAGAGACAATGAGCAAACATTTTTGCACCCTAGGGCGGAAATACATCACCAATCTGATGGTAAAATGAAATGTTGCTTTACTAGTCTTTAAAGATTAAATATTTATCTTTCACATCTAAAAAATATATATCAATATATTTTGCAAATATTTTAATCTTGTATTTAATTTTTATTTTATTTTTAACGTCTTATTCTATCGCCCTCTATTGGCCAGCTGCCACTGGCTTGAAATTTCCCTCCTGATTTTCGGAGGAAAAATGAACAAATTGGCAGACTCAACAATATCTCACCTGAGGACTGAAGACTGAAGGTAAACTCTTCATCAGTAACAGTATCAGTCAATTTACACTGAGGGAACTCAGACCCTGATGATAAAGAGACAGTAGCAGAGCAGCCAGTCTCTGATGGTGGTTCTTTGTTGTCTAATCCACTTCACTTTGTATCTACAGGGGTCAAAGGTCACCATAGAGCAGTTTAATGTCACCCTCTGATTCTCCTGTTTAATCACTGATAATAGCAGAGACTGTAAGACACTAAATCAGACAATTTACCTTCATCACTGTAACGTCTTCCACATATTGTTGTATAACATATTTTGAATTCAAATTGCATCAAAATGTATTTAATAAATGTTAAAATTCACTCTTAAAATGACAGTGTGTAAGAATTAACACCATCTAGAGGTTTACTAAATTCATTACAGATAACAGACTAGTGTCTCTACTATTTTTAATATCTATGTACAGTATTTTTATGGTCTATTAACACACTCTTTTTTTTTGCGATGGATGTGCATGATATGTTATATTACATGATTTATAGACTTCAAGGACCTCATACTGAATATACAATGTGGTGTGCCTATTTCTTACCTTAGATCAGTGTTTCCCAGCTTAGTTTGCCTTGTGTTCGACTTTGGGCACTTTGTCTTATCACGAGTTCCCCTCTCAGTCAAAAATATTGATGATTGCCTAAAAGTGGAACATACAACAACTGATTATAAAATAAGAACTGTTTAACGTGATTTTTTAACTTGACTTAATTAGTTTTAATTTGTTTTCATCAAGACACCTGAACTTTCTTTGATGAACTCCAATAGGTCAGTGTAAAAAAACAGCTGATCCCAGCCTGTTGTCTATATCCAGTCTGTCCCTCCGTTTGGTTTTAATGTGCTTCAAATCTAAAGGTGAACTCAAACATATAAGAAAATGTACTTTTTGGTTTATCAAAGCTTCTTTTCTTTATAGTGTCTTCACAAAACAAAACAGCCCTATTTTTCTATTACCCAATAAATAAAATATTTTCATGTACCCATTGCAATACACTCACGGACCAACAGGGGTACGCGTTTTCCCCATTTGGGAATCACTGCCTTAAATGACAGTAATCTACTGATGCTATGAAACAGCATGTGTAAAAAAAGTGATGACTTTACCTCCCAGAAAATGAGAACATAATTTGTGTTCGATACTGTAGTGCACGTATTGTTTACATTTGGACCGGTCTTACTAGGGAGTACCAATATGGCAGCTTGTGACTTCATAGCACCATGTAAAGCTTACCGCCCTTTGGCAGTCCAGTAAATATATAGAGATCATTGGATCTACTAAGGAAGCGGTGGAGTGATATCTTACAGCAGCTAATAACTGTTGCATCCGAGCTCATCCAATATAGGCTAACAAACTACCCGTCTCTCTCTTCTTTTATTTTTTAACAAAGGAGCAAAATAAACTTCACTGTTATATTGGATTACCTTACCTATCCAGCAGAAAGCCTGGAACATCAGGAATTTATCCAACCTGGTAAAATCTGCTCTTTCTTTATAACCAGCTGATAGAATCAGTCTGTCTGCTTTAGTGATGTCATTCTGATAAATGACTGATGCTCTGCTTCCTGAAGCACTGAAGATCCATGTAGTGACTGTTAGAAGATAAAACAGAGCCAGAAATATTTAATCTGTGCAGACACTGTGAATGAAGCAGATCTATCATTTATAGCTCTACACAGAGTTTTTCAGTCTTCCTACCTGTGAGCTGCAGGATCATTAATAAAAACCCTTGAATCCATCTGAGTTGAGCCATCGTGCGTCTGTTGCTCTCACCCTCAGAACTGTCTGACTGCCTCCTGAACATACATGTAGCTTCTACTTCCTGAGACTCACCACTTCCTCACTCTGACTGATGGTCAACTTGCTGTTTTATTTGGTAAAACCATCTATTAGTTACAACAATGACTTGTAATTCTTTAAACAAGAACATCCACATTTCAAGAAAAGACCTGTAGTAGAAAATATATACTTAAAGATTGTGAGAGCTTTTTGTTCATGCTGATTATAGGACGTTACAGACAGTGACATGCAAGAAGTCAACAAAAGAGGAAGAAGATCAGTGTGTGAGTATTTTTACTTTAGATAGATGTGAGAAATGCACTTCTTCTTTTGTTTAGATGTTTCAGAAACATGGAGAATCAATCAGATAAATCCAGGAGATCTGATCTGTGTTGATGAAGAGCAGCAGATCAAATGTCTAATTTGATCAGTCACACTGGTAAGATTGTATTTTACTTTAAAACCTGCTGGTTTCCAGTTTAGACT